TGCCTCATATTTTTAAGCACACAAATTAAAGTTGAAATTCCTGTTTATTTTTCAACTCATTCTCGATTTGTCATATTTTCCAGGTACATTGATTAATGTGTTCTCCATGAAATTATTCCCTTTACATGATAATGCTTTCAGGTTTAAACTTAGTGTCACAACTATTGTTGACAAAACAGTGAGATGTATTAATGTAACAATTCAATTTCCCTCAAATACAATCCAGGAAGAATAATGAAAAGCACAAGCTGAGCAATCTTATGATATATATGATGTTAGCAAGATCATTTTTCTTGCTGCCCTTGATAAAAATTAGCCTGTCAAAGATACTAGCTACCCACGTATTAGCAGATGGGTTGCCTTGACTCTAGATGTCACAAAATTTTATTATGGTAATGGCTCAGAGAAGAAACAGTACAGAATCGGTTGTCAGTAGCTAAACAGAGTTTGAGAGGAAAATGTCCCCTGATAAAGTTTGGTTTTAAGAATGTCTCAGCTGACTTTATAACAACTGATTAAAAGATAAGTCAGTTTTGAGTAATTTAGTTCTCTGAAAAGAAATAAAAGATGTAGAAATCTGTTTTAAAAAAACAAAGTTAAAAAATAGTTCACTGTTGCACATTACCCTCAACCCATTCAGATGTAAGTGTAGACTCCCTCCCCAGGCCCTACGCTACCAGCACTCCCAGCTATCTTCAAGACACCACTGACTTCCTGAGGAAACTACAATCCATCGGTGATCTTCCTGAAAACACCATCCTAGCCACTATGGATGTAGAAGCCCTCTACACCAACATTCCACACAAAGATGGACTTCAAGCCGTCAGGAACATTATCCCCGATAATGTCATGGCAAACCTGGTGGCTGAACATTGTGACTTTGTCCTCACCCATAACTATTTCACATTTGGCGACAATGTATACATTCAAATCAGCGGCACTGCTATGGGTACCCGCATGGCCCCACAGTATGCCAACATTTTTATGGCTGACTTAGAACAACGCTTCCTCAACTCTCGTCCCCTAATGCCCCTACTCTACTTGCGCTACAATGATGACATCTTCATCATCTGGACCCATGGAGAAGAAGCCCTTGAGGAATTCCACCATGATTTCAACAATTTCCATCCCAACATCAACCTCAGCCTGGACCAGTCCACACAAGAGATCCACTTCCTGGATACTACAGTGCTAATAAGCGATGGTTACATAAACACCACCCTATACCGGAAACCTACTGACTGCTATGCCTACCTACATGCATCCAGTTTCAGCCAGACCACACCACACGATCCATTGTCTACAGCCAAGCTCTACGATACAACCGCATTTGCTCCAACCCCTCAGACAGAGACAAACACCTACAAGATCTCTATCAAGCATTCTTACAACTACAATACCCTCCTGCTGAACTGAAGAAACAGATTGACAGAGCCAGAAGAGTACCCAGAAGTCACCTACTACAGGACAGGCCCAACAAAGAAAATAACAGAACGCCACTTGCCATCACCTTCAGCTCCCACCTAAAACCTCTCCAACGCATCATCAAGGATCTACAACCTATCCTGAAGGACGACCCATCACTCACAGATCTTGGGAGACAGGCCAGTCCTTGCTTACAGACAGCCCCCCAACCTGAAGCAAATACTCACCAGCAACCACACACCACACAACAGAACCACTAACCTATCCTTGCAACAAAGCCCGTTGCCAACTGTGCCCACATATCTATTCAGGGGACACCATCATAGGGCCTAATCACATCAGCCACACTATCAGAGGCTCGTTCACCTGCACATCTACCAATGTGATATATGCCATCATGTGCCAGCAATGCCCCTCTGCCATGTACATTGGTCAAACTGGACAGTCTCTACGTAAAAGAATAAATGGACACAAATCAGATGTCAAGAATTATAACATTCAAAAACCAGTCGGAGAACACTTCAATCTCTCTGGTCACTCGATCTCTGACCTAAAAGTCGCAATATTACAACAAAAAGACTTCAAAACCAGACTCAGACGAGAGACTGCTGAATTGGAATTAATTTGCAAACTGGATACAATTAACTTAGGCTTGAATAAAGACTGGGAGTGGATGGTCATTACACAAAGTAAACTATTTCCCCATGTTTATTCTCCCCTCCAGACCTTCTTGTCAACTGCTGGAAATGGCCCACCTTGATTATCACTACAAAAGGTTTCTCCCCCCGCCCCAATCTCCTGCTGGTAATAGCTCACCTTTCCTGATCACTCTTGTTACAGTGTGTATGGTAACACCCATTGTTTCATGTTCTCGGTGTATATAAATCTCCCCACTTTTTCCACTGCATGCATCCGATGAAGTGAGCTGTAGCTCACGAAAGCTTATGCTCAAATAAATTTGTTAGTCTCTAAGGTGCCACAAGTACTCCTTTTCTTTTTGAGGATACAGACTAACACGGCTGCTACTCTGAAACAGATCAGTTTGGCTAATTCGTAGGGGTAATACATATTGCATGTTTAATAGGTTTGGAGTAAAATTGTACTATCAAAACCATTTTAACAGAAATCCCAAGAGTTAAATATAGTTGAGCTGGTCTTGTATAATTATTGTATAACTGCTGTTGTGGTTTGCCTTGCATTGTGTAAAGTAATTATGTGGTCAAGTTTTAAATCCTGATCTATCCAAATCTTGCAGTAAAATTTTTTTTTAACAGCATTGTGATCTCAGTATTGCAGAATGCTTTGTGTGTTTCCTTTAAAAAACATTTACTTGTGGACATATATGCAGTAAGAAGATTTCTCACGTATATGGAATCCTGAATTTTGAGTTTAGAATCTCGTTGTGTTTCTCTGAATTTCTGCTCTAATGAAAGAGAGCATGTGGTGCTCTCAAACAACACTAATCAAACAACACTCAGTCTTAGATCTCCTTATTGAAGAAGTCCTGTAATAAGACAGTAACTGAATCCAAATGTAATTGAATCCAAATGAAAAGATGTTTTGAAAATACTCTGTGTTAACTCCTATTAATTTGAATGACAGCATGGGGAATTCTGTTTAAAGAGAGTTTTCAAATAAAATTACTTGATGTCATAAACTATTGAGATCCTTGTATGAAGAGTTTCAATTGTATTTATAGTTTAATAGTTAAACATTCACATCAGATTTATAATTTTCAATGAGAATTTACATTTTAAAATATTGGAAAGATAATTTTTAATTGAATAGAATTCATTAAAGAAACTCATTCTCAGAGTTAGATTAAAATTTAGAGTTGTGTTTAACTGTTTCAGGAGACTTGGGTTCAATTCCCTGCTCCTCCAGAGGCTTCCTGTTGGCTTTGTGCTAATTACTTAGCATCTCTGTGCCTCAGGTTCCCCATCTGTAAAATGGGGATAATAGTATTTCCTTACCTCACAGGATTGTTTTGAGGATAATTACATTAAAGATGGTAAGATGCTTAGGTAATATGTAATTGGTGCTATATAAATACATAAGATCGATACTATGGGGAAATAGTGACCAAAATTACTATAAAACTGCAGTATCCTCAAGTAATGTACTATGAATTTTACAATAGAAATATTTATAGTTATGAATGTTTTCTAAAAAAGTGCTATCCAAAGTAACTACAAGGAGCATCAAAATTTCTTTAGTATTTGGTAGCACTGTATAATCTCTGTTGTATACTGCTCCTAGCTTTTGTCAAGAAAATTGATGGATGAGGTAAGGATGTTGTCACCAGAAATCGCACGTTACTTCAATATCACAGGAAATGAGGATGCAACAGAGGTGATGATATGACCTAAATCCTTACCCTTTTGGGGTCTGACCTAATCTCTGGCCCCAGCTGGAAGGCCTGCCTTACAAAGGGGGCAAAGCGAATAGGATTTGCTGTGTGACCCAGAACCCCTAAACCTATAAGCATCCGTAAACCTAACTCATTATCCTCCATTTAAAAGCCCTCCTCAAAACTCTCCTTTTCCATGATGCCTACAACAAAGTTTTAAAACTTAACAGTCAGGCTGCTGGTGTTCTGAGACTACTGCCTATCATGCTGACCAGATTGTCTCTGTGTTTTCTTGCACTCCTCCATCTGTTGTGTCTTGTCTTATACTGAGACTGTGAGCTCTTTGGAGCAGGGTCAACATTTTTTTTCTGTATTTATACAGTGCCTAGCACCATAGGGTCCTGGTCCATGAGTAGGGCTCCTAGGACCTACAATAATACTACTAATATAAACAGGTACACTATAAAGCTTTGTCCCCTTTAAAAAAAAAAGTTAGTACCTGTATGAACAGTAACTGCCAATGGTGCACTTGCACTGGTGGTAGCCACGCTGTAAGTGTTACTGTCAACAGGGCACAGGCATTACTATGTGATAAAATCCCTCTCTGAGCAGCTTTCTGTTACACCATTGTAAAGACCTATGTCTACCCGAGCAGTTTACTGCTGCTGCACCATTGATGGCTGTGTCTAGTGTTAATATTTTGTGTAGATGCATCCAGGGTTTCGTTCTGTTCTGTTCTGTCACAAGAAGCCTTAAAATGGAGTTGGACTTCTGCAGGTGAGATATGCGACAATAAACAAGTTTTGCCCCATTGTCCATCAGCATTCTTGGCATAGATTCTAATCGTTGCCATGACATTCAGATTAAAAAGCTATTACAACACAACATCAACTAACACATGTTAAATGGATTAAAAACTGGGTGATGTAACATAAATAATCCAGTAGGCATCTTTCTAGTAGGGTCTGTGGTGTGAAAAAGGTTAACTTGTACTGTTATTGAGCACCAAATAATTTGATCCCTAAAATTATTCAGTCTAGAGAAACAATATAGCATATATAGATATACATATATAGAGAATATGGTGTGCTATCTCTTGTTAATTGTTTCTATTGCTGCCAACTCAAGGATGTGACTTCTACTATTTAATCAAAGAGGTTCTTTTACATACTTTAGGGGACACCATGATTAAACCTAAGCAAAATCATCATAATTATTAACCAGAGCTATTTTATTCTTAAAGGAAGTAAAAAAAAATACACATTAGATATAACACAGAACAGAACACAAATGATAAACTAGTTACTTTTGTTACAATTGATTCTGTATGTCTGTCTCTCTAGAGCATTTTTAACAGAGATTATACCCTTGAGGGTGAACTGCCTCTGGGGTGCTTTATCCTTGGTAAGTTAAAACCAAGGTATTATTTCCCAAAATTTTGGTGAGTCCAGTCATCAGGGCCGGCTCCAGCTTTTTTGCTGCCCCAAGTGGCGACAAAAGAAAAACCCCATTGAGCTGCCGCCGAAGAGGTAGAGAGGGAATGAAGAACTCGCTGCCGAATTGCTGCTGAAGACGTGGATGTGCCGCCCCAGTAACGCACAGAGTGCTGCCTCTTTCTATTGGCCGCCCCAGGCACCTGCTTCCTTCGCTGGTGCCTGGAGCCAGCCCTGCAAGTCGTAGTATATCATTAGAAAATGAAGACTTTGTAAATAGACTCAAGAATTTGATTATCAGGGATAATAGTTTATAGATGGGCAAGGTAAGCAATCTTCACTCAATCCTATGAAATCAAAGAAAATATTTAAATCAGTTACTTAGAAGAAGCCATTTAAGGAATTGTCTTAAAATAGGCTAATTAGTAAATATTAAGAATCTTAAATCCCATTATTTCTCTGTTTAACAATATTTAGCCCTTGTCTCCTCTCCAGGAATATGTGGACCAGCCATTTGCTGTTTAACTGGAGAAATGTTAAACATCTTAAATTATAACAGCCTATCCCAATAAAATCATTACAAAATTATTACAAGAGTTTTAAAATCTTTGTCGTTGTTAACCCCTCCGCCAATGTTTGTCATCTGCAAACTTTACCAGCAATGAATTTTTCTTCCAGATCATTGATACATATACTGAGTATCATTAAGGAAAGAACAGATCCCTTTGGGACCTGTGATGAAGAAATCTCAACGCCAATGCAAAAATGATTTTGCATGAACATTTAAACCAGCTTCTGTACCAAATAACTGGAGAAAAGATCTAATGTGACACCAATTTTTAAAAAGGGCTTCAGAGGTGACCCCGGCAATTACAGGCCGGTAAGCCTGACTTCAGTACTGGGCAAACAGGTCTATAGTAAAGAACAAAATTGTCAGACACGTAGATGAACGTAATTTGTTGGGGAATAGCCAACATGGTTTTTGTAAAGGGAAATCATGCCTTACCAATCTACTAGAATTCTTTGAGGGTAAACAAGCATGTGGACAAGGGGGATCCAGTGGATATAGTGTACTTAGATTTTCAGAAAGCCTTTGACAAGGTCCTTCACCAAAGGCTATTAAGCAAAGTAAGCAGTCATGGGATAAGAGGGATTGGGAAGATAAGATAAGAGGATAAGAGGATAAAAATCCTTTTATGGATTGGTAACTGGTTAAAAGATAGGAAACAAAGGGTAGGAATAAATTATCTGTTTTCAGGATGGAGAGAGGTAAATAGTGGTGTCCCCCAGGGGTTTGTACTGCGTCAGTCCTATTCAACATATTCCTAAATGATCTGGAAAAAGGGGTAAACAGTGAGGTGACAAAATTTGCAGATACAAAACTACTCAAGATAGTTAAGTCCCAGGCAGACTGCTAAGAGCTACCAAAGGATTTCTCAGAACTGGGTGACTGGGCAAAAAAATGACAGATGAAATTCAATGTTGATAAATGCAAAGTAAAGTACATTGGAAAACATAATCCCAACTATACATATAAAATGATGGGGTCTAAATTAGCTGTTACCACTTAAGAAAGAGATCTTGGAGTCATTGTGGCTAGTTCTCTGAAAACATCCTCTCAATGTGCAGCGGCAGTCAAAAAGTAAACAGAATGTTGGGAATCATTAAGAAAGGGATAGATAAATAAGACAGAAAATATCATATTGCCTCAATATAAATCCATGGTACACCCACATCTTGAATACTGCATGCAGATGTGGTCGTCCCATCTCAAAAAAGATATACTGGAATTGGAAAAGGTTCAGAAACAGCAACAAAAATGATTAGGGCTATGGAGCATCTGCCATATGAGTAGAGATTAATAAGACTGGGACTTTTCAGCTTGGAAAAGAGATGACTGAGGGGGGATATGATAGAGGTCTATAAAATCATGACTGGTGTGGAGAAAGTAAATAAGGAAGTGTTATTTACTCCTTCTCCTAACACAAGAACTAGGGGTCACCAAATGAAATTAATAGGCAGCAGGTTTAAAACAAACAAAAGGAAGTATTTTTTCATACAGTGCACAGTCAACCCATGGAAATCCTAGCCAGAGGATGTTGTGAAGGCCAAGACTATAACAGGGTTCAGAAAAGAACTAGATACATTCATGGAGGATAGGTCCATCAATGACCATTAACCAGGATGGGCAGGAATGGTGTCCCTAGCTTCTGTTTGCCAGAAGCTGGGAATGGGTGACAGGGGATGGATCACATGATGATTACCTCTTCTGTTCATTCCTTCTGGGGCATCTGGCATTCGCCACTGTCAGAAGACAGGGTACTGGGCTAGAGGGAACCCACATGGCCGTTATTATGTTCTCACCTCAAGAAAACAAACTTTGTAAAGAAAAATCTTTTAGGAAAGACCTGGTCATGTAAAAGAATGTGAGGATGTTCTTTGCAGTGTTGTTGTAGCCACGTTAGAGAGACAAGGAGGGTGAGGTAATATCTTTTTTACTGGACCAACTTCTGTTGGTGAAAGAGACAAGCTTCTGAGCTACACAGAGCTCTGAAGTAGCTGAAGAGTTTTGTGTAGCTGAAAAGTTCTCTCTTTCAGATATTACCTCATCTACCTTGTCTCTCTAGGATGTTCCTTATTCAGGATATTCCAGAGGAATGTTGGGATGTGCAGTCTAAACCCTTCCCTCTCCCTCTTTGCAAAGAAAAGCCTATGGGAAAATAGTGTTTAGGTGGAAATACTTTAAACCTTTTGTTTATTTTGTACATGTTGAAATGGTAAAAAAGTTTGTGAAATGCATACTTGCATGTTAATAAAATGAAAAGTTTCTTATGTAATTTCCTAATATCATTGCTATGTAAAGGGTAAAATGCTTTATGAATCAATCTAATGCACATGAAAACCCTAACACAGAAGAAAATTCTACAGAGCAATCTGGATTGCGTGGTAAACTGGGTTTACTTGAACAATGTGCGTTTTTAATACAGCCAAATACAATGTTATGCATGTAAGAACATTGAATGTTGATTACATTTTCAGGATGAGGGACTGTATTTTGGAAAGCAGTGACTCAGGGTGGATAACCAACTGGATATGTGCTCCCAACATGATGCTGCGATTAAGAGGTCACGCACAATCTTTGAATGAGTAAGCAGGAGAGTATAAAGAGAAAGTAGGGAGATGTTACCCCATGCAGTACTACCACTGTATATGGCAGTAGTGAGACCATTACTATGTCTAGTTCTGGTGTCAATACTACTTAAAAGGATGTGGACAAATTAATCAGAAAAAAAGCTACAAGAATGATCTGAGATTTGGAAAATATGCCTTACAGTAAGAGATTAAAGATGCTTGTTTTATTTAGCTATTTAGTTTACCTAAAATGAAGTTAAGAGGTGACTTAATCATGGTCTATAGTACCAATATGGGAAGAAGATTTCTAATAGTTAAGGGTTCTTTTATTTAGTAGAATTAAGCATAACAAGATCCAGTTCCTGGAAGTTGAGGCTAGACAAATTCACATTAAATAGAAGGTGCAAATTTATTATTTAGTCTTATTAACCATTAGAACAACTTATGTAGGGATGTGGTCGATTTGCTATCATTTAAAGTTTTTAAATTAAGATTGGGTGTCTTTCTAAAAGGTATGCTGGAGCTCAACCAGAAATTATGGGCTTCATGTAGGACTTATTTGGTGAAATTCTGTGTTGTGGAGGAGAGCAGAGTAGATGATGATGGTAATGGTTCCTCTGGCTTTGAAAGCTATGAATATTTAATAAGAGTATTGAGGTGAAAAAGTCTTCTATAATTTTGTCTGGCAAAGAAAACAAAATACTCTGTATGCACAAGCATACTGAAAATGTTCAATTAATTGCTGTAGCTCACACACCAGCAGTAGTTAACAATGACTTAACAAAACAATGAGTTAACAAAAACTATGAATATTGAGAGTGTGCAAAGACCTGTCATGCTAAATTCCATTTTTCAATTCCTGAGCATATACCATTTAAAATGAATGCTGAGCAAGATGAAGTTACAACCTGTGCATTAGATAATTGACATTTTAAAAAAATCAACTTGTACATAATTTTAAAATATCAGTTATTTTAATAATTTTTGTGCATGTAGAACAATATTTTCATTATTATTGAGATAAACCATGTTCTAGATCTAGCATCAAGGACATGATACTTCAGTTTTATTTAAATGATAATACTAGTGTAAAATAAATGGCTAATTATCGTAACTAGCAATTAGACCTAGGATGGGGTCTAGGTGCCCCTCAGATGACGTTTCTGCTTCATCACCAACTGTAATCAGGACTTCTTTGTATGGAAATTAATTTGTGCTTGATACCTTGGCTCATGGGCTTTATTCTGTGGCTCGCTGAGATGTGCTATCTTGAACCAGACATAGCTCTTTATAGCTGTAGCAGCCAGGGAAGCAGCCACCAACCTGTCCTCAGACCTAGGTCCCCTGTTTAGTATCCCAAGGACTAAGGACTCCTGCAGAAAAAAGTAGAAGGCAGATCACCACCGAGAAGGGTTATTTATAAGGTTGCCTGAAAGAACATTAGGCAAATTCCAGAAATCCCTTTATCTGTCTCCATCAAACACAGAAATCAAAGAAAAATATCCAAGGTGATAGAATGGGGGAATGACTCCCTCTTTTTACCTTGCTAAAACACTGTGCCAGAAACTGATTTCTAGCATAGAATCCCAAACAGAATGGGCAAAATTTTCAAAAGCACCTAGGTGATTAAGTAGCCTGAGTCCCATTTTCAAAAGTGATTTAAGCCCTTATGAACTTAAGTCTCTTTGAAAGTCAATGGGATTTAGGGCCCTATGTCACTTAGATGCTTTTGAAAATTTTACCCAATATACCTATTTGAATCCACCACTTGTTCCTGATTTTGAGTCTCAAAGACCCTCGTGCCCACAAGAAACAGATAGATGAGTTGTCGTAATTGAAAAACAACTTGCAAACTTCAGGTGAATTTGTGGAAGGAGAATGTCCCATTTTCTTTTTTGTAATATGACTTACATTGAAATATAAAATGATGGTTTGACATTATCATAGTTTGTTACTGTTGCCAAGAGACTGAGGAAATTAACCATCTCTATATAAAAATAAATCATAAAGAAAAGGAATGACTAAGTTTGAGAAACAATATGATGGCTTAAGGCTAAATAAAGTATGCTGTTTAGAAGCTTGAATTGATTTTTTTTCCTTTGTAAAGTAAAAAGTTTTTTTTTCTTGTGTGCTATACACTGTGGCAGATTCATAGATTCCAAGGACAGAAGGGACGATTGTGATGATTGAATCTGACTTCCTGTATAATACAGACCATAGAACTTCCCCAAAATAATTCCTACACCATATCTTTTAGAAAAAACATCCAATCTTTATTTAAATATTGCCAATGATGGAGAAATTACCACAACCCTTGATAAATTGTTCCAGTGGGTAATTACTTCTGTTAACAATTTACACTTTATTTTCAGTCTGAATTTGTCTAACTTCAACTTCCAGTCATTGGATCATTTTATACCTGTCTCTATATCAAATCTATATCTAGATCAAAGAGCTAAATATTTGTTTCCAGGTATTTATGGCCTGTTTATAAAGTCACCCCTTTGCCTTCTTTTTGTTAAACTAAATAGATTGAACTCCTTGAGTCTACTGCTAACAGAGATGTTTTCTAATCCTTTAATCATTCTTGTGGCTCTTTTCTGAATCCTCTCCAATTTATCAACATCATTCTTGAACTGTGGACACCAGAACTGGACACAGTATTGCCGCAATAGTTGCATCAGTGCCAAATACAGAGATAAAATAACCTCTCTATTCCTACTCGAGATTCTCCTGTTTATGCATCCAAGGATTGCATTATCCCTTTTTGCCACAGCATTGCGCTGGGAGCTCATATTCAATGATTGTCCACTGCGTCCACCCAAATATATTTCAAACTCACTGCTTCCGAGGATAGAGTCCCCTATCATGTAAGTGTGGCCTATAGTCTTTGTTCCTAGATTTATACATTTACTGTTAGCTGAATTAAAATGCATGTTGTTTGCATACGCTCAGCTTACCAAGAGATCCAGATTGTTCTGTATCAGTAACCTGTCCTTTTCATTATTTACTACTAACCCTAATTTTTGTGTCATCTGCAAACTTTATTGGTAATATTATGTTTTCTTCCAGGGCATTGATTAAAAACATTAAATACCCACTAAAAACACACCAGCTCAGTGATGATTCTTCATTTATGATTACATTTTGAGACCTATCAGTTAGGCTGTTTCTAATCCATTTAGTGCAGTGGTTCTGAAACTTTTCTGCATCACACCGCCTTTTTAATTTTTGAGAAACCCTCATGGCCCCCATCTCTCCTTTACCATCATCCAACACCCCCTGATCCTTGTCCCCGACCGTCCCCTCACGGGCCCCCTGCCCCCCTGGAACCCCACCCCCTATCCAACCCTCCCTGCTCCCTGTCTCCTGACTGCCTCAACCCCTATCCACACCCCTACCCCCTGACAGGCCCCCCGGGACTCCCATGCCTATCCAATTCCCCCTATCTCCTGACCACCCCCCCAGAACCTCCGCCCCATCCAACTGCTCCTTGTCCCCTGACTGCCCCCCGGGACCTCCTGCCCCTTATCCAAACTCCCCGCTTCCTGCCCTCTTACCAGTCCACTCAGAGCGGCAGGACTGGCTTATTGGAAAGCCTGGGAGGTGGGCGGGCACAAGCCGCACTGCCTGCACGGCGGCGTGGCTGCGGGGGAGGGTGGAGAGGAGAGGAGGGGGAGGGGCCAGGGGCTAGCCTCCCCTGCCAGGAGCTCAAGGGCCGGGTAGCCTCGCGCCCTCCCTTGGAATTTCTTCACGCCCCCCCAAGGGGGCGTGCCCCCCAGTTTGGGAACCAATGATTTAATGTGTGCCATGTTAATTCTATAACATTCTAGTTTTTAAATCAAAATCACATGCAGTACCAAGTCATATGCTGGTATAGAAGTCCAAGTATATTACCTAGATGTGAAGCGTCTATGTAATAATCTAAGAATACTGAACTATATTAATTTTATATATGTAGTATGTGACATGGTCAGTGAGGAAGTTATTATATAGTTATTTTGATTTATTAGTCTTTCCTGTATGAATGTATTGATCCAGCTTAATAGCGAGCTATTTGAAGAATAAGCAGGAACACAATACAATGACTGAGGAAAAACACCCCAGCACACACTTGAAAGACAATGAGGAAAACTATTAGTTTCAAGGATCATATATCCTGCCTCCAACTAAGGTGCAAGCCTTGTTTTGCCAGGACTGGGAGCCAAGAGATCCAAAGGATACTAAACACTTAAAAAGTCCCTCTGAACAGGAAATGGGAGTGGGGGGAGAGTGTCAGTTGCCAAGGGCTGTCCATGGCTTGTCTGGTCACTAGTGGCAATCATGGTTGATCCACAAAGCCTGGTCTGAGAGTGGGAGAATCACATGATTCTACCCTGGAAAAGGGAAAAACCTGAGAGGGGGTGCACTCATAGACCAGGAGGGATGATAGGTGCAGTTAGCCTGGTAACTGTTACCCTACAAAAGGCATGTAGGTCTGATCCAGGTTTTTTTCTTGTCTTTATTTCAGGATCTTATATGATGTCACCAGTAATACATCTGAAGAGCCTGGTGACTTATTAAGCAATTTGTATTTTATCTGTTGAATGGTTAAGCAACAGTAGAGCCCAATAAATTCTATATCTATATAGTACACAAGCTATATTATTTTTGTAAGTTCTAGAGGACAACATTATTTCAGGAAAACGAGTGGGTAATTTTATGATGTCTAAGATATGTAGTAACAGGTAATAGGTTACATTTTGGTGTAATTGACAAAAGTCAAACTGGGACAGGAACAAGGTAGTGGTAGGCTTTTAAACTTGTCCACAAAATAAGCTTTGCCCACTTGAAACACCAAAATGAGAGGCTGCTCTCAGTAGCAATATCATAGCTGGCCATTGAAATAAGTGGAGTAGTTCATGCCTTTCAGAGCTTCATTTCAAGATCTCTACAGACTCGGGCAGACATTGCTGAATCACTTTGCATTCAGTTTACATTTCAAGGTCTTCTTCTGAAACATATGGGTAAAGACTTCTTAAAAATAAACTAAAGCTAAGATTCTGGGAGAACAAGATAGCTTGTGAGAGGAACAGTACCAGACTACTGGCATAGCAGCCCAATTCAAACCCTATACTTGACTATGATCCTTTTAAAAGTAGTATTATACTTACTAGAGTTAGGCAAGTGGATAAACACACTTTCATAGTCATCCAGTCTAGAAGTTGTTAAATAGCTAAGTTGGTCTGGCAAAAGTATGGGGTGATGATATCAGAAGGCCAAAAACTGAGTTTCTAAATAAATTCTCTAACTTTTCTTGAAGTCCCTCCTGTTTTATACAAATTGAGATGGACATATTGATTGTCAAACAGGCTGCTTTCAGAGGCTCTGGGTGGCTGAGGGAGAGGCCCCAGTGATTATATTGAAAAAGGCTTGCAGAGAGAATAAATACTTTATGGCTGAATAATATTAAAACAATTTTTTGTACTTCTGTTTATTGTGGTCACATTTTTTCTCACTTAAAAGCCATTTTATAAAGTTGCACTACAGAGCATGGTCTCTATAGGCTTCAATAATATGTTTTTTAAAAAAAATCATGTATATACAATGGGCACCTTGTGGCTTTGGTCACACTATTTTGATTATATCAGTCTCAGTCCCTGGTAGCTAGCACCTGATTACACTTCCGCCCTCCATCAGCATGACAGTGTTCATTGTGTAAATGCAGCATTCGTTTTATGAACGTCAATGGTGAAAGAAATTTTTAAGTGATATTCATGAAACCAAGAAAAATATGTATTAGACACTGCAACCATGAATCTTACTGTAAATATTCTACAGAAAGGACCCAAATAGCAATGTGCTATTGATGGCTGGACGTTGTCTGCTCTTTGTGTAATGAATATAAATACTTCACAATAGAAGAGAATGTCCCCCTCTTTTTTTCCATTTCCTATTTCAAAACTATGTTTCTCTGTTTTCACATTACTGGAGCCCAGTAATGTGGAAAAGTGCTATTTGAGACAAGTATACCCTTAGTGTTAGCACCATATGCTATCATCCTAGAGACCTTGATTCATCTTTAGACTCTAATGTTGCAGCCTGGTGATATAGTTCTAGGTGTATTAATCAGGGTGGAAGACCTATGATATACTCAGTAGGTACCCAAACCATAGTCACTGTTTTAGGAAGGCAAAGTCATTCAGGTACACGTATTTTGGCTGTTGTCAGTGTAAAGGAGATTCAAAGCTGGGCCTCTCACACTAGTAAATGAGGAGTAACATGACAAAAGTCAGTGATGGTGTAAAACTGGTGTAAGTGATATCAGGATCTGGTCCTGAGTGTCTAGAGCTTCTTACTCTCCTCCCTTTCCCCTCCCCCCCCAAATAAACAA